GAACTCACAAAAACAAATGCAGAAAAAAAAACTTATTTTTAGGCCCCGAAATATTTTTTGGCGGGGGCCAAACCTGGAGGTGTTCGGCCCCCGAACGGGACCCCGAACGCCCGAACGTTCGGGGGCCAGCCCAGGGGCCCCCGAACGTTCGGTCAGGTAACCCTGATTATTATGTTAATGTCAATTGAGTTGATTTTAGTCAGCTAGTTGAATTACTTATTGAACATAACAAGGTGTAGCGCAATTTAGTAACTCATCTGTTTTGGGTACAAAGGGTCATAGGTTCGAATCCTATCACCTTGAGTCAAAATCAGAATAAACTTACATGAAAATCAAAGTCTGTTATGTTTATCTAGACGACATGATGGGTCAATTATTTGCTTTATTCGTATTAATTGTAGCTGCTGCAGAATCTGCTATTGGGCTCACTATTCTTGTTATTACTTTTCAAATTTGTGGCACTATTGAAATCTACCCAAACCAAAACAAGTGACTCATTTTCGCTTAAGAATGGTGCCAAAAAAAGGGGCGCCTTAGATTGGAGAAAAAAAAACAAACAAAAAAAGAAAAGAAAAAAAAAGAAAGATAGCGTAGACTTGCCTAATCGGCGGAATGAATGAATTGTAGATTACCCTATATTTCTTCATTTATTGAATTTAATTTCTTATTGAGTGAGAGAGAGAGAAAAAAAAAAAATCGATTAGATAGATCAATTAGATCGATTGGTAGATAGATTGACTAGATCGATAGATAGCTTGATTGATTAAACAATCAATAAATAAATCGATTAAATAGATAAATCAGATAGATAGATAAATTAGATAGATAGATATATTAGATAGATAGATCAAGTAGATATATAGATAGATAGATAGATAGATAGATAGATAGATAGATAGATAGATGGGATACATGGATTAGATAAATATATTAAATACAAAGATTAGATAGATTTAGATTAAATAGATAAATTAAATAAGATTAAATAGATAGATTACATAGATATAAAAAAAGTTTGATTTTTGTCCATACAACAATCATAAAAAAGAAAAGATAGATAGGTAGATAGATAAACAAGCAAACATAGAGAGAGAAAGAGAAGGGGCGGGGGGAGGGAGAGAGATCAGATCGATAGATAATTCATTAGATAAATCAATTAGATAAATCGACAGATGGATCGGTAGATAGATCGATAGAAAAACCGACTAGATCGATAAGTACCTCAATCGATAAATCGATCAATAAATAAATCAATTAGATAGATCGGTGGATAGATCGGTAGATAGATCGGTAGATAGATCGGTAGATAGATCGATAGATAGATCGGTAGATAGATCGCTAGATAGTCCGACTAGATCGATAGGTGGCTCGATCGATAAACCGATCAATAATAAATCGATTAGATAGTTGAGTTAGATAGAAAGATAAATTAGATAAACAAATAAATAATATAGATAAATTAGATCGTTAAATTAAAAAGATAGATTAAATAGACAAATTACTTAAAATTAGATAGATAGAATAAATAAATTAGATTATATAGATAAATTAGATAGATGGAGTAAATAAAAACATTAGATAGATTAATTAGGTAGATATATTACATAGATAGATTAGAAAAATAGATAAGATAGATATGTAAATAGATCACTTAGATAGATGAATAAATATATAGATTTGATAAATCGGTAGGTGGCGAGATAGATAGGAAGATAGATAGATAGATAAATAGATAGATAAATAAATAGATAGATAGATAGATAAGTCAATAGGTAGATAGATAAACAGATAAATCAATAGATATGTGTGATAGATAGATAGATCGATAGATAAATAAATCGATAAACATATATATTAATAGATAAATCGATCGGTAGATCGATAGATCGATGGATAAATAAATAGATAGATAAATCAATATATAGATCAATAGATTGATCGATCAATAGATAAATCAATCCATAGATAGATAGATAGATAGATAGATAGATAGATAGATAGATAGATAGATGGATAGATGGATAGATAGATAGATAGATAGATAGATAGATAGATAGATAGATAGATAGATAAATTAAATAATAGATGGATAGATAAATTAAATAATAGATAAATCGATAAATTAAATAATAGATAGATCGATAGATGAATAGATCGATCGATAGATAGACAGATAGATAGATAGATAGATAGATAGATAGATAGATAGATAGATAGATAGATAGATAGATAGAGATAGGTAGATAGGATAGGGATAGGATAGAGATAGGTAAATAGATAGATAGTTATATAGATCGATAGGCAAATAGGTAGATAGATCGATAGGCAAATAGGTAGATAGATAGATAGATAGATAGATAGATAGATAGATAGATAGATAGATAGATAGATAAATTTCGTATATGTCATAGATTCTATAGATAGATAAATTAGATCGATTGATAGATAGATGACATAGAGAAGGTAGATAGATAGATAGATAGATAGATAGATAAGGTAGGTAGATAGATAGATAGATAGATAGCTAGATAGATAGATCATATAGGTAGATGAATAAATCGATAGATGGGTAAATAGGTAGATGGATGACAACAATGGATGTGATACATGAAAGAATGCAGTGGAAGGAGCGGCGGATGGATGGAAGGATGAATCGATGGATGGATGGACGGATGCTGGTGAATGGATGGATGGATAGATGGATGGATGGATGAACAAATGATGGTGAATGGATGGATGGATGGATGGATGGATGGATGGATGAATGGATGGATGGATGAATGGAAGAATGGAAGGATGAGATGGATGGAGTGGTGGATGAAGTCGATGGATGTATGGATGGGTGAATTCATGGACGAATCGATAGATGGATGGATGGATGGATGGATGGATGGATGGATGGATCGATATAAGATTGATTGATGGATCAATGGATGGATCTGGAAGAGGAGATGTTCGCAGACCATCAACGAACAACTAATGGAGAACGAAGCAGATTAGTCGAAGCTAAGAGGGATAGTGGAAACTGAGATAGAGTGCAAACAACGAAAAATCAAAGGGTTAACTAAAATCAAGCTGGGCCAGTTTGATGAGGGAAGACTATACGAGGTTAAATCGCTGATAAGCGCCGATGACAAACTGAGACGGATACATCAGGATGAGACAAGATCAAGGAACAGTCGAATTGACTAATGGAGAGGCATGACAAGCGGTTCAGCTGGTCCTCCCTAGTCGTAAAAGTGGACAGCAGTGGTGGCCAACCAGCATCAAAGAGTCCCAAGCTTCCCCGATGAAGCATTTCCTTCTAAGGGTTTGTGGTAGTCAAGTCCATCTGACAGTCTAAGTTAAACAGAGAATGAGAGGAATCCAAGAAGGAAAAAAAAAAGGCTATCCAACAGTCAATCCTCCTGAAGGAGGGCTTTTTTTCAAAGTAATCAATGACATTCAGGGATTCTTTGGCCTTCAGCCACCACTACCTTTCCAAGACAATGTCAATAATTGAAAATTTAACACTCTGGGCTCTTCAGATGAACAGTGCTGCAAGACCACAATGGCTGGCAGAACCACCCAAAAGACTACAAAAGACGCTGCGCTGGCACTTCGGCAAAGCTTGGCGCACTGTTCTTTTCCACCTTGGCAAAACGCGGCTCGCAGGTAGTGGTGGTTTTTAACAGAAGGAAGCATAAGCGTGTATGTTTATGTATCTACCTTTGACTTCCCGGTGGAGAAGGAACTGTACTGATGCTCCCCATAATGGATATGGAGATATTCCCATTAGGTTCTTTATTTTTTTTTATATCATTCTTTTCTGAAAGGAATTGAATGTTGACTGTGACAGTACATCAGAAACCAATCTCAAATAATACCTGCAAAAGTGTTCAGAACAATTGCTGGCATCCTTGAAAACCTGTCGTTAAGCTTGCACAGGTATACAGACACACTAATGCACACACACACACACATACACACGTCTTTCATGGCTACACTTTTTGGTAAAGGTGAAAATACACAAGGACACATGCACACACAATGTCAGGCTTCTACCCTGCTGCCACACTAAGTTGCAAGACATTTGCTTGCACTATCATGCTTTGTTCCCAAGCTGTGGCAAATCTTGGCCGCAGATACAAGTTGACTGGAAAATCTCTCTCTCTCTCTCTCTCTCTCTCTCTCTCTCTCTCTCTCTCTCTCTCTCTCTCTCTCTCTCTCTCTCTTTGTGTGTGTGTGTGTGTGTGTGTGTGTGCGTCACGGTGAATGCTTGGCAAGTCTTTGGGGTTGTTAAATATAATTCCAACCTGACGGTTGCCTGGGAGTGCCTTTTCCGCTCACTGATATTTCCCAATCTTCTACAGTTTGGTCAGTGATTCCAAGCGGAATTTTCTCTGGTTTCGCTCTGTGTGTGTGTGTGTGTGTGTGTGTGTGTGTGTGTGAGAGAGAGAGAGAGAGAGAGAGAGAGAGAGAGAGAGAGAGAGAGAGAGAGAGAGAGAGAGAGAGAGAGAGAGAGAGAGAGAGAGAGAGAATGCCTGTCATTCCCTCTCACACTCTGCCCCTAACAGTCTGTGAGTTTGTTTTGTTGGTGTGTCTGGTTTTCCTGTCCTGTATATTTTATGCCTGTGGAACTCAAAGGTCAAGTGCACGAATGCTGATCCGTGTGGCAAGAAATATCTCAAAGTTCCCAGCACACATTGTGCCTATTCTCACGTCAACAGTGATAGAGTGCCAGCGATCGGGCCTCAAGAATACTGCTTTTCAGTACGCATCCATGCTGATGAGGAGTGAGTACAGGTAGGGTTGGCGCTAGATCCCCCACCATCTCCCCCACCTCCACTTTATTTTCTCCTTCCCTTCAAACAATTGCCTTGGTTCACAAATTTGGCCTGGGTTCTGCTCCATCCACAGTTTTTTCGCAATGCTCTCTCGCTGCATTTCTGCAGGGCCCCCAATTTGTTTTGGCATATTGACGGCCCTAGAGGGCTGCTGACAGCCCTAGGATGAAGGCTGGCCGCACTTCTTCCTTAGCGCCGAATATATGCCGGCTACTGATGCGCCAGCCTTCTGAGGCCTGTGGCAGCCCGGGAGCCTCGTCTACCCTGTTTCTCCATGTGGTATTGCTGTCTTATACTGCCACCAGAGATCCCAGGTACCCATCCCTGAATAAAATGTATGGTCATTATCGCGGTCTGTAAAATCTACATTGAAAAGTCGCCACAAACGCAGCTATAATGATCGTGCGACCTACGCTCGTTTTCTTCTCTTTTTAATTTTCCGATGCACCAATCAGATATTAAAAACTGATCAGAACAGATACCACACCAAGTCTTGATCTTAGCCAAATCTTTTTGTATGACCTACGTTCTATTCGGGGATCGTGTCAGATGCAGGAGCAGTTTCTTGTCCTTCTTTTCTTCCCACTGTTTCATTGTGAAGGTGACGGAAACAACAGCCTCTTTTTTTTTTCCATCCTTGCGCACGGGCCATGCTAAGTTGCCAATCTTCTCTGTATCGTTCCAATTTTAACGGGCAGCAGCCAATTTAAACCACCAGGACCTCCGAAAGTCATGGCGGTATAAAAGCTGCGACAATCACAACCGAATGAGCCACTACGGGAGCGCCCAAATTCATCCGACTAGAAACGCTTCTACTCTATTTTCTCCTGCGGCTGATATATGGGAAGCACCCCTAGCTCCAGCTCAGCTGTTTTTTTTTTTTGGCTAATTCTTTAAGCCCAACCAATTCAATTACCTGTCAATTCTGGACAGGACGGCCTTTCAGGCCTTTTTTTATTGTCATTCTAGTATTACAGGGAACCCCGTAGCAGCCACATCCGTGCTCAAGCCTCCAAGGAGAGAACATGCGGGAGCTGCACCCACCAGCAGGTGCGATACCTGCTACAGCAGGTGGGTGATACCGGCCAGGGGTCAGCCAGTAGCATCCCATCGAAGAAGCTCGGTGCTGGTGGTTTAAACCACCAGTACACAGCCCCAGCCGTGCTGCATCGCCTACAGAATTTTCGGAGGCCCAGCGCCATCGATAAATTGAATCGGCGGCGGGCGGCCTCCGAAAAGGGCCCGCCATCGATATATGGGAAAGGTACTGGTGGTTTAAGCGGCAGAAGAAGAAGCATGGCATGACACGGTTCAAGTACATGGTCGCATCTGGTCCGTCAGGCAACTTGATACGGAACTCAATTTTAAATCCTCCTTGCTTGGTGTGATCACAGCCTTCTCCCTTGGTGTGGCCACAGACCTTCTGGCCCTGTAGGCAGGGAACATCAGGGCCCAGGTCCCACTAGCAAAAAGGATAGGATCGAGCTCCTGAATCTGGATGTGTTTCATGCAGAGATGCAGAAAAGCAGTCCAATGAACTTCAATCTCGATTTCCTGCACATCTCCATAACCTCCTCCCGATTCAGGCATTCGATCCGATCCTCTTTGCTAGTGGGACCATGCCCCAGGACCGATCTCATAAAAAGGGGTTGCAGTTGTTGGGCAAGGCGCCAGGCATTTGGATAGGCGTATGCCTAGCAAGCCGAGTTGTTGTTGTTGTTGTTGTTGTTGTTGTTGTTGTTGTTGTTGTTGTTGTTTTTTTTTAACAGGAAAACCAGTACGACGTCACTAGGGGGGGGGGGTTGTGTGTTTGATACTGGAATTTCTTGGACATACACACACACAAAGATAGGGGAGATGATTAGCGAAAACCGGAGGTAGGGAGCGGGACGGGAGGGACATCCCTTGGTGCCAATGGAAGGCTTGATTGTCAGACATTGGCGACCAACTTTTTTTTTTTTTTTTTTTTTTTTTTTTTTTAAAAAAGCTCCATCTATTGGTGGGGAGCAGCACCTGCTGGAAACCGGGTCCAACTAGCAAGTCACCCGGTTGATATTCCAAGTTGGGAATGTTCTCTGCTTTGTCCTCTGCTGTGATTTGCATGCCACTGATTTGCATGTCACTCATAGGGCATATTCACACTAGTGTTTTTTTTTGCTAAGTCGCACTAAAGTTTAGAGTCACACTAGTGGTTAGAGTCACACTAGGGTTTTCCGATCACCAAAGTTGCAAGCGGGGTAGGGGGGCCGCGGGGATGGGCATTTTGCTACCACCTCGAGAGGTGGTGGCAAATTCTCTTTCGCCTTTTGGGAATTCGTAAAAGAAAATTTCCACGCTTTGTGACCATGCGAGGCACCAATTTTGCAATTGCCAGGGAGTCCCGCTCATGTCCTTTCTGATTTGCAAACCATGTGTGACCGGGCGGGGTATGATTTCAGCAAACATGGGAAAGAAAATTCAGCAGATTTTGCTAGACTGCCACCGCTGTGTGATTACGCCCATACTATGTTTTTTTGTTTTGTTTCTTTTTCCTCCTCTTTTTTTTCTCTCTTTCTGGAAAAAACAAACAAACACAAACACCCCTCATATGGTATTCTAAGCCTGGAGTTATCATTCAATGGGTATTCTTTGCAAGGGTGACTTGCAAGTCACCTAAGACTGTGAGCAAAAGGGGTATTTGTTGCAGTGAGTTGCAGAGCGCACCCAAAACTCCTAAAATTTTCCCAAGTTTGGACTGCCCATCAGGGGGGTGGTCCCACTAGCCAAGACTATCGGATCGAATGACTGAATGTGGACGTGTTTGTAGAGAGATGCAGGAAATCGAGATTGAACTGCTTTTCTGCATCTCTGCATAAAACACATCCAGATTCAGGCATTCTATCCGATCCTCTTTGCTAGTGGGACCTCGGCCCAGGGCATGGTCTACTGCCTGGAATTCCTTTTTTTTCATTTTTTTTGAAAATTTATATCTTTTTTATCATCCTTGCGCAGTGGCCATGCTGATCTTCTCTGTATGGTACTATCGTTCCATTTTTTAAACTTTATTACTATGGATTTTTTAACGGATGTCCCCAAGGACAACTTCCTGAAAAACTCTTTTTCAAAATTTTCAAGCTCTTTGTAGGTTTTTCAAGTTTTTAAACTTTTTTTGAGTTTTTCGAACTTTTGTGAAGTTCTTTTTGTACCTGTCTATCTGGAGTCACCAATCCGTCCTTCTACTTACCTTCTTCCCCAGAATACAACGTACCGTCATTATCGCTGTATTTGGGGTATCTTTCAGTCTAAATACAGCTCCAATGACCCCACATTGTTGTATTCAGGGGAAGAAGGTAGTACTTGCAAAATTTTTAATGTATCCCTCTAAGAAGCTATAAATGCAAATGAGTCCTCCTAGTAACCGATGCACTGAGAATCCATGCACGGAGAGTGAGGTTCGTAGAAATTAAGGGGCATAGTGGCCACACTAGCACTTCCCTAAATGTATCTGACTTTAATCACGACCAGATGTGGATGCATCTGACAGCAATCACGACCACAGCTAAGCTGAAAAAGTCCTAATGTGAGTATAGTATGCCCTTAGTGCTGCAACATACCATCCAACCCATGGTCACAAAAAAAAAGACAATCTTTTGTCGCGAACAGCCAAAACGGAGCGGGGACTCAGAAATCTCAGTCAATCCAAGAGCATGGTCCCAATAGCAACAGGATAGGATAGAAAAGAGTTTGTGTGGCAGTTAAGGGACCCAAATCCTGCCATGGAGTACTCGTGAGTGATTCACGGTCAATATTTTACATGTATTACCCGAAAAAGTAAGGAGATCTTTGTTCCCCTCCTCCCGTGCTTAACACTGGGCATGCCCGTGCAAAGAAAGCTTCCCTCCAAAATCTTTTCAATCCGTTGGGGGTATGGCCAACCCCAAAAGAGGGTGGGGTTGGCCATTGGCCCACTGGATAGAAGATTTTCAGTATTTTGCTTGCTACTGTGCAATTATCTCATTGGGTGGAGCCCTCCTTCAATCACCGACTATAGGGGTGTCATGATCACTGCTGACAGAAGTGGATTTTATTCCAGAAAATGTGGCAGTTACTTTGTTTACTGTTGTTGCAACCACCACCATCAGATCATTTGTGATCTGATGGTTGGGAAGCACTCTGCCGTGATTTCCGGTGGGAGGTCTCTGTTTCTTTTTCTTTTTTTTTGCCTTTGGGCGTCGTTAGACACTCCTCGGGGACGTGAAAACCACAAGGACGCGTTGGTTCCACTTGTCCTTGGGGACGAAATTGAAAAAGAAATGTGAAAACGCCACAAGGAAAATTCCTTGTGGCGTCCTTGTGGCCCCAGCCAAAATTTCCTTATCCCCAACGGACCTTGCGAGGTCCCTTGGAGCTCAAGGAACCACGATTCACGGAGTTGGTGAAGACATGTGTCGATGAAGAGTTTCGGTTCTTGGGTGGTCCAGATGTGGTCCGATGGCGTTAGTACGGACATCCCCGCCGTCCAACGTCTGCGTAGTCCCCCAACAGCCTCCAACGGTTACCGTTGGTGGTGGGCCTCCATCAGGTGGCGTCCTTGTTTTCGACCGGCATCATGCGGTCTCCCATGCTCGAGGAATGTCCGCAACGGTCGTGACCGACCCGTACCACAGACTCCCTCTGCTGCTCTTCGTGCTTTGCTGCTTCTGGTGGTGGCCATGCTGCTCCTCTGCGATGTGATAAGCTCAGACCCGTACCGCGCGGCTTGCCGTATCCCTGGGAAAAAATCCCCCGGAAGCCCCGAAATACGGATGCGAACAAAAAGGGGTTTTTCTTTCTTTTTGCTTTTGTTT